TGGGCATATACTCACCTAATGGATGTGGTGCACACCATATGAGGGATGGATATTCTTGAAGCTCTGACTCAGGTGGGGCAAAGGCAATATATGTAACCTAAACATTTGTACCCTCATAATATGCTAAATTTAAAAAAAAAATTAAAAAATCATGGTATGGTGTGGTCTGCTTTTTAATTACTGCAAATTATCATTTTACTGATTTTGTCTGATTTTCCAGTTTTTTTAAGGTGAGAGGTAAATCCTGATCCTTTGACCAGAATCAGATGTCTGTCCACTTTACCAAATACTTATATTTACTTTTACATAGTTGTTCATAATATCCTCTAATGATCTTAGGTAGTGATGTCCCTCTATCATTACTAATATTAGCTTCTGTGTCTCCTCTCAACTTTTTCTTCATCAGTCTTGAAGGGATTTATTAATTTGTTTATCTGTAAAACAAAAAAAGTAAAAACAAATTTTTGAATTTACTGAGTTTTACTATTGTATATTTGTTTCTATTTTGTAACTCTCTTCCTATTTTTTCCTCTAAAATTTTCTTTATGTTTCATTTGCTGTTCATTTGTCGACTTCTTACACTTGATGCTTATATCATTTGTCTTAGTCTTTCTTCTTTCATATCTTACGAATTTAAGGCTGTATACATTTATTTAACGATGACTTCAGGTGAACTTCCCAAGCTTTTATACTTATTTTCATTATCATTCAGTTCAAACTATTTTGATTTCTTCATTTTCTTAATTTGTTAATAATAAGGATTTTTCTAATTATCCTATTTACTTTCTAGTTAATATTTAAGTTTATTACTCTATATGATTTAATTTAGTTGAGACATGATTATAGCCAGTACATTATTAGTATATAACCTTTGTGTACTTGAAAAGACATATTTAATAGTACACATATACACATGTTAAAGATCATTATATATGTGTATATATGTTAATTACATTCTTAAATGATAATATATAGCCATTGAAATCATATCTCACTCTTTAATGGAATGAATGTCCACAGATTAGAAGATATTTGTAAAAGCTTTGTGTATAATTTAGAGGTAAACACAATCAAAATTGAAACGGTGGGGAGGCACAAGGAAACAGTTACTCCTTTAATTAAAACTCTAGAACTTATTTTGTCTGAGACAAAAAGAATCTCTCCCCTACCACTGGCGATTGCCTCAAGGTCAGGGGTTCGAAAACCAAGCCTTGAGCCAAAGCGAGGACCCATCTCTCGTATAAAATAGAAAGAAATGTAAGATGTGGCCAATATACTATATAAACAAGAAATTTAATTATTTTTGTCTCTTTTTGAGCATGGTTTTGGTCATCCATGTTCCGTGCCCAGTTCTAATCGGTTTTTTTGAGTGGAGGCTGAGGCAGGAAGGATCACTCGAGCCAGGAGTTTGGATGGAATGCTGTGGAAGCTAGGGCTGACGCCACGGCACCTCACTCTAGCCTGGCACAAACGCGAGACTCTGTGCTCAAAACAAAAAATAATAAAAACACATAACTGTCGTAGTCTTCATAAACACATGAAAGAACTCCAAGAACCTAAGACTAAGACAACAGCCCATTAAAAGGATTCGGCAAAAGATTTGAACAGTATTCACTAAAGGATGGGCATATACTCACCTAATGGATGTGGTGCACACCATATGAGGGATGGACATTCTTGAAGCTCTGACTCAGGTGGGGCAAAGGCAATATATGTAACCTAAACATTTGTACCCTCATAATATGCTGAAATTTAAAAAAAAAAATTAAAAAAAATCATGGTATGGTGTGGTCTGCTTTTTAATTACTGCAAATTATCATTTTACTGATTTTGTCTGATTTTCCAGTTTTTTTAAGGTGAGAGAGTAAATCCTGATCCTTTGACCAGAATCAGATGTCTGTCCACTTTACCAAATACTATATATTTACTTTTACATAGTTGTTCATAATATCCTCTAATGATCTTAGGTAGTGATGTCCCTCTATCATTACTAATATTAGCTTCTGTGTCTCCTCTCAACTTTTTCTTCATCAGTCTTGAAGGGATTTATTAATTTTGTTTATCTGTAAAACAAAAAAAGTAAAAACAAATTTTTGAATTTACTGAGTTTATACTATTGTATATTTGTTTCTACTTTTGTAAACTCTCTTCCCTATTTTTTTCCCTCTAAAATTTTCTTTATGTTTCATTTGCTGTTCATTTGTCGACTTCTTACACTTGATGCTTATATCATTTGTCTTAGTCTTTCTTCTTTCATATCTTACGAATTTAAGGCTGTATACATTTATTTAACGATGACTTCAGGTGAACTTCCCAAGCTTTTATACTTATTTTCATTATCATTCAGTTCAAACTATTTTGATTTCTTCATTTTCTTAATTTGTTAATAATAAGGATTTTTCTAATTATCCTATTAATACTTTCTAGTTTAATTTTAAGTTTATTACTCTATATGATTTTAATTTAGTTGAGACTATAATTATAGCCCAGTACATTATTAGTATATAACCTTTGTGTACTTGAAAAGACTATATTTAATAGTACACATATACACATGTGTAAAGATCATTATATATGTGTATATATAGTTTAATTACATTCTTTAAATGATAATATATAGCCATTGAAATCAATATCTCACTCTTTAATGGGAATGAATGTCCACAGATTAGAAGATATTTGTAAAAGCTTTTGTGTATAATTTAGAGTTAAACACAATCAAAATTGAAACGGTGGGGAGGCACAAGGAAACAGTTACTCCTTTAATTAAAACTCTAGAACTTATTTTGTCTGAGACAAAAAGACTTAAAGGAGATATTGTGTACAAATAAAGAGAAGGACGAATAAATCAAAGAAAATCAGAGAAAAAGAAAAACATTCTTAAAATCAAGAACATAGTAATCAAATCAATACAGAAGTAATTTTAAAAAAATCAGGAAATCTCACAAAATAACAAAAATTAAGACATATGGAAGTGAAAAGATAAGAAAATTAGATACTTTGTTAGTTAAGAATAATGGAGGCTTTGTGTTAAGTCCATGATGGCTAATGTCCAATTAATAGCAGTCTAAAAGTAAAGATCAGAAGAAAAAGGGTTAAAGTATTTTTAAGTGATATTGGGAAATTTGAACCTATACACTGAAAGCATGTGTAATTTACTCAAAACAACATATAATAATACTTTTAAAACACGTAGTCCCATGATTATAGAGTTTAAAAATACAAGCCATCAGATGAGATACTAAAAATTTCCAAAAGGGAGAAAATTAGTACATATGATATGGAGAAGTCAGAATGGCATGAGACTTCCCAGGGGAGAAAAAGGAAAGTAATCCCATGACAATAGTAAAAGAAGATACCAGGTCAGCATCTACGCAGATATCCTAGAGAGCAACAAGAACAGGTGGGAAGAGGGAATCCAGGTCCACCAAAAGGAGTTTTTTGGCTGGAGAAATGGAACCACTGGGTCATTTGATATATTTGAAAATTGGAAAAAATATTAAATATATGAATTAATACATTTGTCAAATTATAAAAGTAGGTCTACGGAAATCTAAGCAAATAAAACCAAAGATATTTACTTATCACAGAAAAAAAAAGTTGTATGAAATAAAAATTATAATCATTATTCATTATATGAATCATCAGAGAATGTTTACATGGTCATAATAATATAATAACACAATCACTGACAACTAAAAATAAAATATTATTAAATAAGAAAATAGTGGGATATAAAATGGAGAGTATAAAATGTTCAGAAACCATAGCAGGAAGTCAATTGACAGAAATTAATAAATCAAGAAAAAGTGGCATATATTAATAATAACTATTTACAAATATAACAATAATGCTAACATTAAAAAAATCAAAAGTTAATTTAATTTTAACTAAAATCTTAAAAAGAATTTTATACATCTAAAAGTCATAATCCAGCTGTGTCTCAAATCTCTCTTTTCTTGATCTCCACCACTGCCACCTACCTTTCTCTCCATTTTACAGGTATCAGCCCCAGTGAGTTTTCAAAATGCAAATCTTGTCATCTCCATCCAACTCCTAAACTCCATATAGAGCTCTTCAGGGGATTCCCATTGCCTTTGACTAAAATCTTTCAGAGCCTTGGAAGGCCATGCACAGTCAAGTTACAGCATTCTTCCCACTTTTTATCACTCCTTTTTTCCCTTGCCTTTTATGCTTCAGCCATACTAACCATGTTTTACCTTGAAAACATCAACTTCCCTGTTATGCTGGGGCTTTGATATGTACTATGCTGCTGTGCTTCCATCATTTCAAAACATTCCCCCCTCCAGTTCCCTCACCCTTTTCACACACACTCCTTCCATTTCATGAAGGTATCTCTTTTTTCTTTTTCAAATACTAACTCAAAGACTTATTTTAGGGAAGATATTGATGGCTCCCAGTCTCCATCAAGATCCTCTGACCTGAGCTCTCCTTTATTTTATTTTATTTTGTTTACTTATTTATTTATTCATTATTTTTTTTTACCCAAGAACCATGACTTGTTGGGCTGAGCTCTGCTTTAGAGAATTACTTGGTTTTCCATTTTCCATTCCCGATTGAGTACTTAATTGACTTCCTGCATCCACGTGCTTCCCTCCTTCATTAGATTATAAGCATCAAGAAATGACAAATATTGTCTCTCTTTGCTAGCCATTGTATGCCAATATGTGCTACAATACTTGGAATAAAATCGATATTCAACAAATATTTTATGAATGAATGAAAAAATTAAAAATAGACTAAACATCCAAGACCTAGGTAAAGTGGTTACCTAGCGTTGCCGCTTATTAGCTGTGTGACATCAAGCCAATTATTTAATTGCTCTAAGCTTGACTTCCTCATCTGTAAATCAACAGAATAATACATAGTTCAAAATTATTTTAAGGATTATATGAAAGATAATACATGTAGATGTAATTTTTCCTTTCTGTATATGCTCTATAAATGTAAGCCTTCTTTTCTTTCCTTTCTTTAAATCATTAATGATGACCTTGGCATATATTTGATTATAACACGTATTCTCTAAACTTAAAAGTATAAAAGAAAAAGAGATAACACCTCATCAAGAGCAGTGTGCTTCAAGGGGTAGTAGAACATCTGTGTTCACAGAGTAAAAAGGGCAAGGCTTCCCTAAGCTTTCAAGTTTTCAACCCCGTTCATCATTATTCACATACTGCCACCAAAACAAGTTTAACTGTGGCGCAGTTCATAAGTGCAAAATATTTCATTTGTGGCTGGAATAAATGAGACACATAATCTCATCAAATGTATATTCAGTAGGAATTCTACTCTGCCATCTGTGGGTTTTCACATACTTCATTGTAACTCTGAATTTCTAACAGAAAATCCAGCTCTCAAGGACATTATATGAATTTGTGACACCACTGTAGGACACGTGCAGGGAAGGTAAAATAATGAACATGCTAGATTTTTTCATCTGTCTCGGAGAGCCAGCTGTGACAGATGTAATAGTGATAATACTTTAATCATAATTATGCTATTATGCCATATTATTATGACAGTTAAGGTTATAATTTAATGTCACACCCTTTTAATTCAATAAAAGTTATTAATACATTAGAAATCTTTTACCAGTGAAGGTTTACACCTAGCCAAGACTTTTCTTTCTCTTGATGGTAAGAAAATTTTTCTACTCAGATAAAAAATAACCTCATGGCTTGAGTGACAAACTAGGTGTTAAATTTAGATTCTGAACATATTAATTCTCAGAGGTCTTGGGTAATTCCTTTAAATTTTCATCCAGGCACTCTCTTTCTCTCTGTCTCTCCCCCCATCTTTCCTCCTATTTCTCTCTGTCTTTCTCTCTTCCTCTCTGAAACACTTTTTCACTACTTCACCAAGAGTGCTTATTTTTAAAAATTTCTCTCACCAGTTATTTTATCTTTATGCATTTGCTCTTTTGACATCATCCAACTGTGTTCCCTTCATGCCCAGACTGGAGCTGAAGTGAAAGCATATATGGGCATGAGACACAGGTCTGGACAGAAGAGAAAAAGAAAGATAAAAAGCTATTGTGATAATGTTGGCAGCTTGCCAAGTCTCTACTATTTTGATGTGATTTCCCCTGAGTCTGGCTAGAAGGATTGCTGGTGCCTTAGCCGCTTTAAATCCCATGGCAACTCCTCCTGAGCAGTCTCCCTCTTCATTAGAGTACTGAGCCCCAGGTTTATAGACAGCGCTGCAGGTCAACTCTAGCCCTCCAGAGTAAGTGAAAATACCAACTCAGCTTCTATTTGGTAAAATCAGTCACCTAGGCTAGTGCTTCTCAAAATTTAATATACCCATTAATCACCTGGTGATCTGGTTAAAATGCAGATTCTAACTGGGTAGTTCTGAAGCAGGGATGAGATTCTGCATTTTTAACAAGCCCCTGGTTGAATCTGATGTTACTGACTCCTGGACCACACTTTGAATAACAAGGACAGAGAGGATCATCTATACTCCTAAACATTACCTTACTGGTGCCATTTTCTGACCTTCATCTCTACCTCTCTTTTCCACTTCTCCAAGATTCTCACATTTTTACCCTCCTGCTTACATAAATCATTAAACAAACATAATTCAACCCAGAATGAACCCAACCCAGGACTCATATAGAATACAAAACTACTATCCAAGGAGTATTTCTTTGATTCTACAATTTTTCTAAGTTTCAGAAATAATATAATGGTTGAAACACATTGGCTCTGTAATTATACAGAACCGAGAGTGAATTACAATTACAGGACTTAATAGCCAGACAATTTTAGGACAAGTTACTCAATCTCATGTCAGTCTTCTCATCCATAAAGTGGATACAATAATATAATAACATCTACTTCATAGCATTTTTGTGAAGCTTAAGTAAAATAACACAAAATAGTCCCTGTGATACTATACTTTCTTGATAAATATTGGGAAATATTCATTAGATATACCCAGCTCAATGGAATTACTTAATATTATATAAATAATTTTTAAGATGGAATTTAGTGTGCTAATATGTCAAAGTTTAAGCAAATACTTTTAAAAAAAGAAAAAAATCAAGGCATTATTAACTATTATATGCTTGGCAAACAGTCTATTTTTAAATTTTGAATTTCATTTGAGATAAATTATTTTGTATTATAAAGTGGCTGTGTGGCAGACTTTTTAATCAGCTTTCACCACCTTTTTGAAATACATTTGTTAATTGGAAACAAAATAAGTAGCTTAAAATTTCTGTGGATGCAGCAACTCTAGTTAATATTTTCTAAATGGTGCTTGAAAATAAATATGTATGGATCAAAACGTATTTGATAAGCAGCTAAATATGAAAAAAAAAAAAACAGCATCCCCCAAATCAGTAATGCATCAAGATATATATTGATGCATCGATACAATGGTCTCTAGTAATTTGCTGCTAATCAGTTTTAAGAAATGGATGGCAGCAAGGTGTTTTTAAATAGTTCTTTTGTGGCTGACATGAAGTTGGATTATGTGAACTGACTCACCATTTAAATTTTACCATATAGAATGGTGTGCTATTGATTCCGACAGTCCTTGACCTCGGGGATAACACTTGCCTTAGCTGAGGAAGCCAGCTTTTAGTTTGGAATGTGTTGTCTTTCAGCATCTCTGCCTTTTGACAACAACAAAACAGAAAGATTAGGAAAGCATACAACGAGGTAATGCAAGAAAAGTCACCCAGCTTTACCCAAACTATTCATGCTAGGGAAAGAATGACAACCTCCCCTCCTAAGGAAAATCAAGCCTGGCTTTGGGGATATTTTTAACCCCGACCCTGCGCAGTTTGATTCACATTTTGAGGTGAACAATTCTGGTTTCTTTTCAATGTCACTGTTGTCTTCATAATGAAAATACTGTCTGAATTTCCTGCAACACCTTGGATTTGGGGCATGAAGATATGCTAGTGACATGTGATTTAGCTGTGTAAGGCGGTACCTGATTCAGAATAGGGAAACTGTTAAATAAGTGTAGAGAACATCTTCCTCAGTGATGCTTCCTCTTTTCACTTTCATAAATGGGAAAACAGAGTACTGTGATGAAGAGACCATGTTTTCTAAGAGGGTTTTCTCCAGTCAGACAGATACCCAATCCCATGGTTGGGGGCAGAGCTTCCAGCCTAAGATTTAATTTTATTTCCTACAAGTAACAACAGTTTCTCCCCACCCCGCTTTCTATTATTTTTTTTAAATTTCTCCCTTTATTTATTAATAGATAGATAGCTCTTTCTCTATATATACAGAAAGATACAGATTTTTAGATGATAGATAGATATAGAGATGCACACATTCTCATTCTCATCCCTTCTCTCTCTTTCTCTCTCTCTCAGACCCTCTTCCTACCTCCCAACCCTGTGTATGGGTGAAAAATAAAGAAGTACATTATATATCCATCAGAATTAATCGACAGGGATTCCATCTTTGAAAGGGACTATTAAGCTTGATGGTTTTTTTAATGGTATCTTTTTTTGGTTCGTGGCATACAATAGAAAATAGCATTATCAAAAAAGTTTTCATAATCTGCGATATGCTTACACACACACAACACACACACACAGGCAAGCAGGAGAGAGAGAGAGAAAGAATCTTTTAAATTGTGGCCACTCTTAACTATTCTACAAATAAGAAAATGTGTACAATTCACTGAAATTCTCAAATAACCTTTAAAAATCTTATCTGATTCAATGGGTAACAACTTTTCTTAAATTTTTATCAGAATTGCTTGCAAGTAGCAAATTAATTTATCTGAAGCTTGAAAGGTTGTGTTACTTTCTGTCCTTCGTGCAACACTAAATGCAGAAACAGTCATCAAATAATTAGGGGAAAATGCAAAGCCTAGGTCCATATAATATAGACATAACATATTTAAACCTCATATTTTAAAAATGTGATGTATGTTTTATGGCTATGAATCAAATCAAAACATGGTTATGTGATTATATACACACACACATACACATATACACATACCACACAAATACATATACGTTTACCACATACATGATAGAATTTTTTATTATAATCCATCACGTAATCAGTAATTGTATTCCATACATTCTCTACCTAAAAAATCCTGTATTTCCTTTAAGACAGCTCAAATGACACAGTTTTTTTTTAAAGTCTCTCAAGATCTCAGATGAAGAACTTAAAATTAATTTTAAATACCTCTTGGATTTGTAATTTACCAAACCTAATATTTAGTCTCCTTCACAATCTCAGGTGTTTAAAGGTAGGGTTATACACACACACAATACGTTTTCTAATTTTTTTCAATTTCTTCTTATTCTAAGAATTTCATGTGCCAAGAACTAATAGAACTGCTAAAATAATGAATAAACTTCTTAATATTTGTAAGTTTATTACAAATCCATCATCTCCAATGATTTGAACCTAAAGCAAATACTGCTGGCTATATTTGAGAGAAACAGAGAGAGAGAAAGAGAGAATTTTGTAAGGCAAAAGTTCTTGTGCTTTTTGCTCAATATTTTTCAAAGTAAACTGGGCAAATTTATGTTTAAAGAGCCATAACACAAGTGAGTGATCCTTGTTAAATCACATATGCACATGGGAAAGAAATATGAACTGTGTGAATGTACAATACAACATACATTATTTATTACACAAGACTTAAGTGTTACTTACCTAAATTAGTGATACACTGTGATTGCTCTCTTCCTAGAAACCACTGTACGAAACAGTTCAATTCACAACAGGGACATTGCTGCTTTTCATGGGCATAATTTTTGGTAAAGTAATTGCTTTCAGTGACCTTCCTGCTTTTTTACTTCATAATGTATGTTAACATAACACATTGTCCTGCAACTAAAGTTCTCTTCATTATTTACATCTATAACAAAATTTTCCTGTTATGCATGCCAGCCATTTGAATACTAAATATTCAAACTCTAGGCCATATACATTCTTAGCCACAAAAATACTTGCTTATTATTTTATTTATTTCGTGTTCTATACTACTCTTTCCTGATGCTAAGATGATAAGAAGAAAAGCAATAAAATACCTCAGCTTTAATTTCAAGATGCAGGCACAATTTCAGATAGTTAGTGTTTCTTTTGCAGACTAGTGTCTTTGATACATTGAAAGACTAGAGAAGCTGTTACAATGATACATGGAAGAACCTTATACACTTTCATTGACATCAGATTGCCCATTGACATTCCACAGAATTGACAAGGTAATGGTTTTCACACATACTTCATTGACACAGAGCATCAGAAGTGTCAGATACAATGGACGTGTCTCTTACACGAATCTATTGATATTTAAAAAAGGAAGAAAAGTAAATTCAGAGGGCTATAATATATTATGTCTCTTAATGTTACTAATTGTCCATAATTCATCTGATTTATAATGAACTCTCTTGCAGACATTACCTTTCATACCACACACACAACACACACACACACACACACACACATCACACATTTGGCAAAGGGGAAAGGTGAGAAAACTGAAGGTGATGAGTGTTAAGGCTATTGTGATTGATTGTAAAAATAACTTCATCTGGAGCTAACATTTATAAAGTACAATGTACAATTGTTTCAAAACTTGGGAAACAGGCTGTGGTAATGAAATAGTCAAGGAACTCACACCATTTGGGTATTTTAGGTTAATTCTTTATTATTCAATACAGAGAGGTTGCACATTAGTTCTGTATAATTAGACAGAAATTATGCAGTGTTTGGTAATTGTAGCAGGATTCTGTAGTTTGCTATAACTTTGTGCTGAACCAATATAAAAAATAAAGAAGTACAATCTTTAAAAGGAGACACATAGTTGGCATCAGAGCATAACTTGAAGCAGAATCTGATATATGACAGATTTTCATTATTTCTGCAAGGTAAGTTAACTCGATCATATCTGCATGACAGAGTATTAATAAGATACTAGGTGATATTTTTAGTGTAACTGAAAGTACATCCACTAGCCAGAGGTTTTAACTTGTTTTCCTTCCATTTGGGAACATTTCATTTCTGGATTACCTGATTCACTTTATATCTTTAAATTAAGGCTCATTAGAAATGTAGCTGGGACCGAATCTTTTCTGTGACTAGTTAAAATGATGCTTATCTAAATGATAACTTTTAATCTCTATAAACTTTAGTGCAGTCTATGTTTCAAACACCTGCCAAGCCTTGGAGACAGGGATATGACCAAGAGAGATATAGTCTCTGTCCTATAGACAGTATATTTCTACAGGGAAGACAGATTGAACAGGTAATTTCCTAATTGTTATTTAATCACACGATGATTGAAAACACTCTTGGAGAAATGAGGATGCTAAGCGATCATATAAAAAGGTAGACCTGAACTAATCTTGGAGACAAGTGAGGCTTCTCAGAGAAAATGGCATTTATTCTAAAACCTGAGAACTGAGTAGGTTCGCTGGCACAAGGAGAGGAGGCAAGGAAAACATTCAGAGTAAAAGAAATAATTCATTTGAAAGCCTCAAGGCACAAAGTATGAATATGGAAGAAGATCACACTGGCACGCTGTGTTCCTTTAAAAATGTGTTTATTTTTATTCTACATGTTTGAGCGAAATACACTCAAGCGAAGAAAGCTATAAAGAAAGAGCATCGTCCACTTTCCTGTAAATTGGCCACTATTGCCAGCTCAGTGTATCTGCATAACTTACTTGGGACACTGTCATCATGCTGTCATCTAGCCAGTGTTGACATGGTTTTCCTTCCCCCTCCCCCCGGTTTATCTCAGAACATTCCTGCTTACAAGGCCAACGGCTGCGTCAATTTTTAAGAAGTGAATTTAATTTCTAGCTAATTACCTTATTTTATACCTTGAAGTTATCTGTTCAAGAAATTCCCATTGGAAAGGTGCTGTTACTCTTTTAAAAGATGTAAGTGCTAGGCTGAGACTGCAGTAATGAACAAGATACACACAGTCCTGACCTCACAAAGCTTATCGGTGGCCAAGGAAGTCAAATAAAGTACAGCAAGTAGCAATATATACGACTGTGAAATTATAAAATATTTCTAAAATATAAGTTAACATCTTGGAGGATGCAAGAATGAAAGAATGAATTAATTGCACAAATCTACACTCTATGAGACATTGTAATACTAAGACTTAAACCTATGAAGAAACATAATACATAAGCTGTGGGCTTCTCAATTTCAAAACTGGATTTACTGCAATTCAACTCATGTTTATTGAGTACCTATTATGTAAAGCATGGTGGTTCCACTGTGCTTCTCCTCACTCAGCTTCACCACTCCAGTCTCCTTGCTGTTCCTTGAGCACACTAGGCACACGCCCATCTGAGGGCTTTGCACTTGTTGCTCTCTCTCTCTCTCTCTCTCTCTGCAAATGTTCTTTTCCTAAATTCTCTCTAGGATTGTACCCTCACTCCCTTCATTTCTTTCTTCAATGCCATCCTCTCAGCATTCTCTGACCACCCTATCTAAAATTTCACCCTAGCTCCATGTTGTCTATCTCTCCTCCATACTTCAGTTATCTCCATTTTACCATCTAATGTGTTATATATTCAGTATATTTATGTACACTTATTTCCTGTCTTTCTTACCACTTGTAAGCATCTAGGGTTCTGGGACATATCCTACATTGATGAGGTCATTCA